TTGCTATTTGTAATAGTATCTCATGGTTTATGTTTTAAAACATAGCATTAGCCAACCTGAAAAGAAATGCTATAGCATTTTGACAGCTGACATGAGGTACCTGTACTTATCCTGCAAACTTTAATGCTACAAAGACTATTGAAAACAAACTTGATCAACAGCAACAACACAAAAGAAAACAAAATGAGCTTGGTAATAAAATGCCTGTCAAAAACTGCAGTACTTTACATTAAGTCTAGAGTTAATTCCAGATAATAAATCACCAAAGGAATCCTGGATGAGAGCCGTGACGACACAATGGAAGGCAGTAAAGAAGCTCCCACACAGCAAAGCGATTTAAAGATAGCAAAGTGATTTAAAGATTTAGAAGATTTAAAAACAACTCTTACATAAAGGAACAGTGATGGTACTTGGCTGTGCTGGTGGCCCACCCTATGTCCAGGAAAACCTTTTCCTGGGAACCACACAAATGGCACACCTTCCTATAGCACAGAAATTGAACAGCTGATAAAGAAAAATAACAGTTTAACCAAAAATCATGGAAGCTCAGCCAACTGAGAACTACCTCACCCAGCATGTGACCTACAAATATCACAAGCTGGGCTAAGGACGGGAGGGAGCAAAAAGTCTAACCTGCAGAACAAGAATGAGCTCAACATCTGCCATGAATTTTGAGTGCTGGCAGCTACAGGGATGGGCAGCATTCTAAAACCCTAAGGAGAATCAAAGCGTTGCACAGAAAATAGGAGGGAAGAAGCCAAAAGGGCTAGCTATTTCTATGGGCTCTTAAGTACAGAATCTCCTCCTAAAGTGTGGGAAGAAATGACTCAAAAGAGCTTGAGATCTACCAGAAAAGGTGAAGCACTAAGGCTCTGTTGGCCAGGGTAAGACTTCCTTTCTCTGCACAGGAAAAACTGGGTTTACTGAGGCTTAATATGACAATTTGTTAATGTGATATGAGGGCTTTTGTAGCAAACAGAACTTTCATTTTATAAACTATTTTGCTATGCTGGAAGGAGAGACCTGTCCACACCATCCTGAGGGTAAAAAAGAAATAAAATTGGGAATGAGCTCTACAAATGGATTATGCCTTCTAGTCTGCTGAATGACTACGGGAATGTGACCTGGGTTGCCTTAAAAAAAGTGAAGGCATACCAGTGATTTGGATTGTCCCAGGTTCACTGACAATTGCCATGGGGAAGCAATCATTAAATGTTGCAGAAAAGCCAAGCTAAATAGGGGACATTTCCTTCCACAGAAGAGAATAAAAAAAATTCTGTCATAACATCAAGCTGTAATTGAGAAACAGAGCAATGACTACAGAATTGTAAGAGACCTAAATTAAATACAACTGGGATTTCACATTCCTTATGAAAATTAAGGTTTTAGCATGAGATAATTAAAGCAAGGATAGCCAGCTCATGGTGTGCCAGAACATATAACTCAGCCTGTCATCTTCGTTCCTGAGAGTCCCTCAGAGTTGGTCAGGAAGCAGGCTGTCAGCCACACGAATCATTCGCTAACCGACGGCAGTCTCCCTGCTGTTCTCCCTTGTGAGAGCCCCGCAGCCTTCCTCCTGTCATGTAGCTGGACATGCCCTAAACACAAACTATAGGCATCATCATCGCATGGAGCATGCCCGTTCAGTAACATGACAAAAGGACTTATGTACATATGTCCCCATCACACTTGACTGGGCTGTGGTCAGGTGGTGACTGCAGATTAGTTATGTGACAGATAAGCACACATTCCCTGGGTGCCTCGGTTGGGGGACATTGGATTGACCTGACAGAGAAGCTGAGTGACACCGACCTAAACTAAGTGAAGAAAATGAAGACAAGTGTTGTGGAGCTTAGGACTTGTAACAGAGAAACAAAGATGAGATAATCGGAGAATGTGAAGGGAAAAGCAGCAAACACGCATTGTCAGATAACTAAACCTTCATGGAAGTGAATTATCGGTGGGGGGAAGGAGAGGAACATCTTGATGACATGAGAAGAAAAAGAGGTGAAGACAAAGAACATTCTAGTAGAAGAAATGCAAAGGTTAAGAAAGACACTACTTCATGGACTTAAAAGACTAAACTTTTCAAAACTAATGAATTGGCCACGGAAAAATAACGTGTTAAAAGACAAAGGGACATATTAGGAGCTTTGTATCACAAAAGAAATTCAGTATTGAAAATATGCAGCTCTTACCATTAGATTACATTACAGCATATATAAGAAATGTAAAGAAAAGTAGTGACACATTGTAAAAGAGAAATGTATTTCCCTAAAGAGAGAGAAAAATTAAAATTCCAAAATGCAATGGTTTTTTTTGGGGGGGTGTGCGGGGGGGAGGGGAGCACATCAGGGCAGAAACCAGTGTTAACTGCAATACGGAACTGGGGATAGAGAAGTGATCCAAAACTCTGTGAAATACCGTGTGCCAGGTTCACTGAAGGAAGCTTAGAGTTTTAACAGAGGTACTGGGGATCACCACCACCTCTCAATACCTCCCAGATGAATCTTGGGAGAAATAAAGAAGATGCAATTAAGTCTGTTGTTGATAAGCATATCTGCCCGGTCATACCGTCAACAGATCTTCAAGCCATCTACACTGAAATACAGTGAAATGAATTTGGTAAACCAAGAAGCATTTGGATTTTTTTCTTCCATTTGGTTTTAACAGTAAAACAGCTGGAGGAGAAATGTGTAAATATTAATCATAAGCTCTACTATTCTTGCCTGGCCTCACGCAACAGGGCTTTCAAGCTCTTATATTTATATATCACAAAAATAAGCAGCTCTCCAAAAACCTCAGAGGAAGCAAAATGGGTGAAAAGCCAAGTGGGAAGAAAAAAAAGGGGGGCTGAGACCATTTGGGGATAGATGAATAAAAGCATGATAGTACATAAGGTTTGAAGCAAAACAGCTGATATTCACAGCTATCTAGCTTCTAAAAGCTGGGCTTCGGATGAAAAATGCTTCCATTACCATAGGCTTTGAAATACACCACTCTTACTCAGAAAATATTTTATTCAGAAGACCAATGTATAACACAATCACTAGTGATCAAGACCCAGAATAATGTTCTCTACATCAATAACTAAATTATTCAGACCCTTTCAGAACTTCAGCACATGATTTTAGGACTGTGCTATTTGTTTTAATCACAGCAGCATGAACCTTGAAGCAAACCATACTTCCTCTCAGAGCAAAAATCGGAACCAACAGAAAGTCTTACCTTTTGAGAAAAAGTATTTTATTACGACAAAATAAGCAATCATGCCATCGATTCACTCTTTTAGCAGCTGGCCTACTGCACTGTGTAATGACCATATGTTTTTTATCCTAGGTTTAAAATAATTCTGTTTCAAATGTCACTTCATTTTAAGGCTGTTCTGATCAGTTTCTTTCAAGGTCAATATGGGGATCTAATACAGATATGTTTTAGATGATAACGCCTATTCATTCCAGACACCTCAGAAAAATCATATTCAGGGAAGGATTTCATTTGCAGCTCTTCCATGCCCAACAAATCCATTCACTTTTCACTTTGAACTTACTTGCCTACTGATTATCAGCTGACTAGCTGGCCACCTAGTTACTATCCCAGCAGACTATGGCTTCCCCTCTTCATGATACTATTTAAATATTTCATCACTTAACATTAACTTGCTGTTTCCCTCGGTCTCGCTTACCTGCTAACCTCTGCCAGAGTTTCCTCCGTTTGACAGTCACCGCTAGTTGCAGTGTCTTCCTTGGTGTCTCTGTAATAACAAGATTGAAGTGCTCTGACCAACTAGCGATTGCCCTTCACGGTGGCAGCCTGACAGCAGGGGTGGCTATGTCCAGAGCGCTAAGCTCGTGGGTTCCCTGCCTTTTTAAATGCCTCTTAACCCCTTTCTTTTTGTGTTACCCGCTATCCTACGGATTTAAAGAAAAAGCGTCTGTTTCATCCCGCTCTCCCAGGTTCTCCCTGCCTGCCTTTTGACAGTACTTGCAGAATAGACCGTTTTTATTTTAGATAGCTAACTGACATAGTGAACGCTACCAAAAATCACCCATAAACGAGGTACTTGCTTCATTTCATGCGTACCTGGAAAGTATCATTTCTAAGTTCAAAAAGCGCCTTCATACGGACGAATGCATCTAAACAAACTCTGAAATCGAACTTCCAACCGCATTTCCATGGCGAGGACTCACTCCACCCCCAGCCTGTGCTTCCCTCAGCCCCGCCACGAGTGACAGCTCGGCCCCGCGCAACGGCACCTAGAGCCGGTGGGGAGCTGAACGCGGAAAGCCCTTTTCTTTCTAACGGGTAGCTGCCGAACCTCCACCCAACAGCCCTTCCATCGACGA